ATTATTAATACAATTACTATATAATTTTAATAAAAACTTAGCTATTTGAGGGTAACAAAATTAAAATTTACACTTAAATAGTTAAATATAGGTACAAACTAGGTGAAACATGATTTAAAATTATAATCCAATTATACCATATTGTGCTTTCCACCAGTGATTTGTAGGTATATCAAACTGCCAYCACTTTAAAAGAAGTGAGAATAGATATCTCAACTTCTGCAACAGATTTATTAATCGGGAAACCTCGCGAGACATCGTGGATGAACATATTTTCCAAGTMTCCACGAATTTTCAGTGACGATATTACGGCAGCGTGCGTTCTTGTACAATGTTCAACTTCCTCCAAATGTTTCTCTTGTTGGTAGTACGACGCGACGACGTGAATTTCAACAAGAGAGAGAACTGCGTGTTTATAGTTAATAATATTTAATATTACTACATAAATAAATCAAGTATGTCGTATATATATATATGCATATATATATATATAGATGTTGTAATTATTTTATTTGTCATACATATTATGTCTACCTACACTAATAACTAATAATTAGGTAAGTAAAAAATACTAATAAAAGGACCGTCACATCCGCTTGAGTTATTTCTAACTTACAAACGTATACCATTTTTGATTTATTATTAAACCTAGAATTAGAAGATTCTCAGTGTTTGTACATGGGTTTAATATAATTTTTTTTATTTTTAAAGATTTAAGAATATAAATATTTTATCGAAATATAAAATAATAAAAATATTATACATAAACTATTTTGCACTCTGCCATTGTAGATGGCAACTCTTTGAAGTATCGTTATATCCATTTAAAAATCTATACAACGATTCTAACATTTATTGGCTGTTTTAGGAAAAAAAAAATTATTGGCTGCTTTAGTAATTGGCGACTATTTGACGAAACTATCTTTTTAAATTGTTATGTAATAGATAGGTATAGGTTAGATTAGGCTAGAAATTTTATTTTTATGCAATATTTTACATATTCATAATTCGTTTGAAAATTTAAATGTACAATKAACTATTATAATACGCCAAATAAAAAGAACATAACATATTTTGGTTATAATTTCATTTTGTAAGAATGCATTTGGATATTTGAATTGGAAATGTAATTCGGCTAAATGTAAACTCCTACACAAAAAACCTTTTTACCTGTAAATCAAAGATATTGTATAATATCCTACACCCCAACACTTTATTTGTATCTAATACCTATACACAATTATGGGATTGAAAAGCTCAAAAAGCTAAAATTGATAACTTGACAATAATAAACATGAAAAAATATTATTACAGATAAAATATAAATACCTGAATAGAACGTGTTTATGTGCTGTGTATTAGAGTTTACCATCAAAGTATGCCACAAAAGTAAACGTAAATGAAAATGACTTGTTTTATACAATTTTTTATTTATTTTGATGTGATTACTGATAACCTATTATTTAAGTTTTTATTTTTATAAAGCTTAATTGATTTTTGTATAATATGTATTGATGTATTGTAAGACAGATAGTTTATTGATACGAAAACATATTTTTTTGACCGTCACTTATTACCACACAAACGCGCAAAATACACATGGGACAAAACCACACAAAGATTTTAAAATAATAGATATCCAATTACTGCATACGTATATTTTGGACGGTTATCAACAATAATCTATTACAACATTATTAAGCTTTATCTGTAAAATATTATATCCAAAGTGTACTAATTTGTAGAGAGTTTTCAGTCGGTTTTCAGTCTTTGAAYCATCGCATGTGACATTTAAAATAAATTTAATATACAATGGTATATATGGAAAAAAACAAGTTTAAATTTTAAACCAATATTAGTGTCTACAAAATTCATGTTTTAAAAACTTAATTTTATTATTATTACTATATTACTACAAATTATGACTATTTAAGTGCTATTTTTAATTATTTAATTCTATGTAATATATTTTTTTAAATTTTTATATTTAATAAATTTATGCGGTATCGTACCTACTATTTGTTGTGTAGAATATACTTTTCTATAAATCTGTGTTGTATCGTATTATTTTTGTGTGCGTTAGGTATTAGGTCATGTTTGTGCGGTAATGGTAAGCTTCGATTTTTTTTTACAAATTTGTTTTTTAGCATTATTTTGATTTGTCTATCAATATATAAGTAAATTGGTTTTTGATATTTCATCCATAGGTTCAAGAGAAAATATTGCAGAAATTTGTTACCTAAAATGATTTCATGTTAGATTCCAGCACTAGTTGGCCTCCCTCCTCATATTATTCAAATTAAATATTGTGCATAAATTATAAAATTTACTTATTGTGCTGTCTAAYACAGATTGTAAATATATTCTTCAGATAAAATAAAAAAAAATAAATATTTTATAATTTATATAAGTATAAGGTGTGTACACCTATGTCACTTGTCTACCTTTTTAAAAATGAATTTAACTTTTTGTGTAAATATTATTATTTTGTTATCGCATTTAGGAATTAACGCTATCTATGTTTGGAGTTAACACTATCTTTTGTAGGAGTTAGAACTATGTCTATGTAGGATATAAACTACATTTGAAGGAGTTTACTATTCCCAGTAAAGTCGGCCTAGAGTAAAGCAACTAGAGACTAACAAGTGGCATCAGATAATAAGAATAGCGAATTTGCCTTACTGATTTAGTAATTTGTTATAATAAAATCACGTATGATACCTAAACACGACCCGATTTTATCCGTAAATGTTACGCATGAACACGCATAAAAATTACAAAAATAGCAAATTATGAAATATAGAAATATAGAATGATTGAATCTATTTTATATAGATTGTGGCTTATTATCATGTGCTCTCTTAGTAATCATTAGTTGATAACGTTTGACGATAATTATCATACAKTCCTAAGTAAGCGTAGAAGGCAGAGGCTACTAAGTTCAATTTAATACACTTAAGCAACTTACCTATCGTTCGAACTCGAGCAGAATGAGTACATTATACGAGGGCAAACTGTAAAAAAAAGCCTGTCTGTCGTGACAAAAACTTTATATATTATTGTTGTGATACGACAACTCCTACAGTTGTCGGAATGACTTGCAGTCTGATGGAAAAAAGGTTAACCAACGGTTGGTGTCACCGTAATATACTGACAATTAACAGCGCCATGCACACAGTTATAATATAATGTATTCGTAAGAAATTGATGTTAATTAAAAAAAGTTAGAGGGATGAGTGAGAGGGACCCAATAATAATAATTGTGCATTTTAGGAAAAAATTATCTTTAATCCGGGCTTGGATATACTGTAGTCTATATGGGTAATTACTAATTATTAATTCTATGCTTTCGATCAATCTTTTAGCAGTTTTGTACACTATTGAAAAATTAATTTTAAATTATTTTTATGTTAAAATTTTTTTTAATAAGCGTTTACAGTTCAAAATTTTAAATCTGTCGAAAACGCGAAAATTTGCAAGTAATTTTGAAGTTGAAAAATCATAAAATTTTTTTTGTTTATAACTAAAGATTAAAAATACAAAACGTAAGTTTTCCTTCAAGTAGCTATAGAGAAAACTCGAAGCATCATTATAGGAAAAATTTTAAGTGCGTTTGAATTTTAAATTTTTACGAAATAGCGTAACGATAACGATTTATCCTCAAACGATTTTAAACATTTGTTATTATTCAAAAAGTATAAGTCGTAGATACTTGAAAATTTTATCAGTTATTTAGATTGGCATTTTCTTTACATGATTTAATTTTCAAAATATTTTGACTTTTTTGAGATAATTATAGACGACTGAAATTTTCAATTTGTCTGAAAAATTTTTTTCGAACTGTCGATAAAAATTTAATACAAAGGTCCTCATATGTTATTCTTATAGTGAATGAAAAATCATAAGAATACATAGCGACAATTTTTTTTTATTAGTAATTGAAGTTCAAATATTGACTAAATACGTAAAAATTACGGCAATTTTCAAATTATCTTAGATCGAAATTCATAAAAGTTTTTCTTTTTAATTCTAAGATTTGAGAATTTAATACAAGGCTCATAATATATTTTTACAATAGCAGTTGAAAAATAAAAGAAATATATAGCTACATTTTTTTTTTTACATGCATTCAAATTTTAATTTTGACAACATACGTAAAAATCACGAAAATTCGTAAATTATTTTATTCTATAAATTCATAAAAAAATTTCCTTTTATACCTAAGATTTGAAAATTTAATACAAGGCTCCTTACAAGTTTTTCAATCTTTATCACAAAAAAAATGTCCATCGGAAATTCAAATTAAATTTTTATTAGCATTTGAATTTCAAATATTGACAAAAATTCGTCAAAACCATGAATATTTGCAAATTATTTTGTAGTTCAAAATTCATAATATTGTTTGTATTTATATCTAAGGTTATAMAATTTAACACCAAGTTTTCCATAGGTTTTGCTTCAAATAGCTATAGAGACAATTTGAAGCGTCATTATAGGAAAAATGTTTTGAGCGTTTGAGTTTTAAATTTTTATGAAATCGCGTAATGATAACGATTTATCCTCAAACCAGGTATTCGGATATATAAGGTATTATGAATTATGATAACTACATGATAACTACACTAATTGATTAACCATGCCTTATGCAAAATGCGTCTTAATTGAAAAATAAAATATTTGTTTCAAAATAGAATATATGACAATATTTAAATATAATATATCCTAGACTGACAAATCATCTCCGTTCAGAATCGTTTTTCGTATACAATGATACCTATCATTGCATTCAAATTTAATCCCATCCATTACAGTAACCTACAGTACAGCAGAGCGACATCCACGACTTACCCGCTTTTTTTTTTAATTTGATACTAAATATATTTTTGTAGATTGTATTGTACCTATCCATATTTCATACGCATATAATCGTGACTCATATAGTCTTATATGTAGCCATGTAGGTATATTTAGTTATTAGATAATATGTATAAAAAAGAAAATATCTAAATTTAATTATATTTAAAAGCTCAGTGTGATGTTGACTATAGTTCATTAGTTAATAAAAAATTTAGAAAAAACATCAATTTAATAATAAGATGAACCCCTATTACAAAGGTAGTACTTAAGTAATTCCATAAAAATAAACAAAAATAATACAATTATTAAAGATATATTAAAAATCTACATTTTGAAATTCTTCTTCATCGTGTTGTTCAATCTGTGATGTTAAATCCGAACGCAGTCTACTGTAATTGGTCTCTTCGATTAATTTCTCTTCTTTGTAGAATGACTGCACTACTAAAATCTGGTACACTAAGGCAGCTAAAAATAAAATAAATAATTATACCGTTAGTCATTATACATGTTAGTACATGATATAATTGGTGTGAATATTATTTTTGTATAGTCAAAGTATATTTAAACGGGAATCGGTCAATAATTTTGCATAACTACTGTGGGTAAATTATGCATTTTTGAGTGGTATAATCATAAGAAATAATTGTATAAATTTTTAAAAAATRAATAATTTTTTGTTTTTGAAAGATAAGTACCTTTATAATAACCTAACCTATATATTTTTACGGAAATTGATAATTTTTTTGGTCAATACTTGTTAATCTCCAACAGGTTGGGTATAGAATATTTCTGAATATAGGTATAACCACAACATTAGTTGATTKTGGGTATCGAAAAAAGGAACTCCTACTTCCTGAAAATGTCAATAGCTCCTAACGCCATCAATGAAATTATATTTACATTCGTGGACTATTTTGTTTTGGATAATCCAACAGTCCAGTCCACAGAAAATAAATGGATACCTACCACCCCTGAATAACGACTATGATACCAAATAT